TAGAGTACACTATTCATTTAAATATCAAAAATGTAGCTTACTGAGGTATAGCTACTTACAACTTTGTGGTAGCAGGAAACAGATAATATAGAACTCTTTAATTTTGATTTAGAACTCTTTTTGATAAACAAAACTATCTTTTTTAATTTTCTCTGAAATTAGCACATGACTGTGTATGGAATTGTATAATAATACTTAGGACCTGGATAACTCAGCCTCTTCTTTCCTTTCTTAGGCATCTCAATACAACAGTCAATAAATTTTTCTAGGTATCTGGATATCATGTTACTTAAAATGAACTTTAGAACGTGTACCAAAAATGTCAGGAGGAAACTGGGGACATGTATTTCAGAAAAGGGACTGTTGTTGAAGAGTCAGGAAAGAATAATTGTTATTGGAATTACAAGACAGAATCTTGCAGAGAATGTACAGGAGCATAGTGAAACTTAGAATGGAAAGAGATGGGACTTTAAATAATTTTATTGAATGCCATTATTTTCAGTTTATTAATTAGGAAATCCATGGTTTAGACATTAGTACACAATGAAGGTTGTTAACTAAGAGAGGGATCTGTGGAGCCAGACTACCAAAAATCAAATCTCTGTCCCACTACTTCTAATTATGAAATCTTAGGAAAGTTATTTTATCTATTTGCCCATTTTTTTAATTGAGGAAATATATATAAAGCACTTAAAATAGTGTGAACATAATACATGTTCAATAAATGTTATTAATGATTTATAAATACAGTAATAACATTTAGTTTGCACATTTGCAGGGTCACATTGGGGTTGACAGCTGACTTAAATGTGATATGATGAATGTCATATAGTGGAAAAAAGCTTAACATGTCAAAACCGTGTTAGCATTATTTTATAAGTAGAAGTTGCAACAATTGAGATGCTGCAAACAGTGAACATAGACACACACACACATATACTCACAAATATGTTATATACACACATATATATGTTATATCTATATGTGTGTATATATATGACATATATGTATATATAGACTATCTTTTAACGCAAAGACACTTTGCTTTTTGGATATTTTGATTTTCCTTTTCTTTCTCTAGAGCCCTACTGTCAAATTGATTCAGCTAGAGAGTATTAACTAGAAAAAGGTTAAGGAGGAAAGAAGTTTGGATGCAGAGATAAATTCCTTTCAGCCACAAAAGAGAAGCAGTGAAACCTCTTTCAGCATGAAATAGGGAAGTGAGACACATAGGGAAGGAGATAAGTAAGATATAATCTTCAACGTCCCTTCAGCTACACATACTCTGGTCCTCACTCAAAGTATCGGTTATGAAAGAATAGGAACCCAAGGTGTTTTCAGAGGGAAGCTAAAAACAAGGAGACATTAATACTTGTATCCTATTTCCTGCTTGAACATCTGAGTAAGATTTTCACGCAGAGTGCCTCATGAAAACATGGGAAAGCCATGTCAGAGTAAAAGTGACCATGCAGCATATTTAGTCAGAGAACTTGAAATTCGAGTGCCCTCTTGTTTCCTTCTCTTCCATGAGGTGCGAATGCTCACTAGTGAAGCTGTCAAGGGAGTTACCTTGACTAGGGACAAATGACTCTATAGTTAAAGAACATAAGACTGAAAGTGAGAGAAAGAGAAGTAAGAAAAAAAGATCAAGTGTCAGGACTTTTGGCATAAGAGCCATGGCTATGGGTGGATCACTAAGCTGTTCCAAGAGAAAATGTTCAGTCAAAATTCAGCAAAAGGTGCAGAAAGGATTAAGTTTTACACAGATCAAGGAGGTAAGATGAGATCTTTCAACGTAAGTCAGCCAAATGATTTAGCACTTAGATCAGAGGCTCACCCAGTTGGCTTACCCAATCATCAGAAGACGTGTCAGCTTCCCCTCTCACACAACTGATAAGAGATGTGGTAGGAATGACTGGGTAGACACCTATGGGGGAAAGAATTAGTCTAGCAGAGAAAATCAGGTTCCAATGGACAGAAAGTTATTCAAATAAATTGTTGTGACACAGCAAATGTATTGATTAACTCAAAAGCATTAATTGACCTTTAAGTGGAAGGTTGATTCAGGCAACTATTAGCAAAAATAGGGTCTACTGGAGCAAGATAACACTACAAAAACAAACAAGCAAACAAAACACTCGCCACTTCTGACTTTAGAGTATAAGGTGCAACACCTACTACATAGGAATTCAGTATATCATAATTTTGACTAAGAAAAGAGAGGACTATTAAATAATTATTTCACTTGGTAACTCACTTGGAGACCTAAATTTATATCAATATATAATTTAAAATTATTTACATTTAACTTTTATTTTTAGTTCAGGGGTACAAGTGCAAGTTTGTCACATGGTAAACTTGTGTCGTGGGGGTTTTTTGTATAGATTATTTTATCACCCAGGTATTAAGAATTAAGTATAGTACCCATTAGCAGTTTTTTCTGATCCTCCCACCTTCCACTCTCTGAAGGGTCCCAGTGAGTGAGTTTCCCTCTATGCATCCATGTGTTCTCATAATTTGACTCTCACAAGTGAGAACATGCTGTATTTGGGTTTCTCTTCCTGTGTTAGTTTGCTGAGGATAATTGCCTCCAGCTCCATTCATGTCCCTGCAAAAACATGATCTCATTCTTTTTATGGTTTTATAGTATTCCATGGTTTATACATACATTTTCTTTATCCAGTGTATCATTGGTGGGTATTTAGATTTATTCCATGTATTTGCTGAATAGTGCTGCGATGAACATACCCACGCGTGTGTCTTTATAATAGAATGACATATTCTTCTGGGTAGATACCCAGTAATGGGATTGCTGGATTGAATGATATTTCTGTCTTTAGGTCTTTGAGAAACCTCACGCTGTCTTCCACAATGGCTGAACTAAATTACACTTCCACCAACAGTATATAAGCATTTCTTTTTCTTCACAAGCTCATGAACACCACCAAAAATAAATAACTAGAACAGTGGAGAAATAGCTATAACGTAAAATGAAAGAGTAATAGCCCTGGTAAAAGTGTCAACTGTGAAAACAAATTGCCCTATCATTTTCTAGTTATTTAAAATCCCTTTATATCAATTCTCTTACATCCAAAATTTAATTATTAAAGTTTACCCTATAGAGTTTCTTAAGGATTAATAGTTAAAATCACTACCTAGTGCTTCCAAAGTGCCTGGCAGATAATAAGCATCTGATAAATGTAAACTATTATATTTATGAGACCATTATTATTATTACTGTTGTAGATTATTAACAGTAAAGATATAAACATTGAAATAAACTCTACCAGTTTTAGGGAAATGTTTTATATTTGTAGGGTTGGCATGTTTATAACAGCTTTATTAAAAATCAAACTACAAAACAGTGAAATGTTAATCAATCGATGAATAAATAGTTTGGTGTATATAAGACAATGAAATAGTAGTCAACAATAAAAAATAAATTAACTATAAATACAGTCAACAAGAGTTAATCTCTCTGAAAGGCATTATTACAAGTGGTAGCATCCAGACAGAAAATACGACATTTATTACAATTTAATTCATGCGCCCTTCTCAAACAACAACAAAACCTACATGACAGAAATCAGATCGGTGCTGCCAGGAAGTTGGGGTTATAGAAGGCAATTGACAAAAAACAAGTATAAAGGCATAAAGGCAATTTTGAGAGTTACAAAAATATCCTATATCTTGATTATGGTGGTGTTACATAACTAAATATTTTTAAAAGCTCATCGAACTGTGAATATACATATAACATGACTGAATTAAAGTTTATAAGGTTACTTCAATAAACCTGACTTAAAATATAATTGAATTACATACATTTCATTTTAGAAATAACATTTTGAAAAAATTTACAAATGCCAACAAGAGTTCAAATATGTACCATTTATCATTATTCATAATTTACTTTGGTGAATTTTTTCTACCTTTATTTATCATAAAAGGGTTTTATGATGATTGTATAATCATATAAGAATTTTATACTAAAAAGAAGTACAGAAGGGTGATAGAAAAGAAAGCTGTCATGGAAATTGAAATTAACTCAAAAAGAGAATATATCCAAATCTATCATTTATTACCTTTTAACATTTAACATATTATTTAGCCTTTCTGAGCTTAAAAATGTCAATTTGTGTAATAGAAAATAATATCTTTCTCAGAGTCTTGATGGGGAGATTAAATTAGAAACATTTACATTATTTGGTGATAGTAAAAATCTAAGCTCTATTTTTGTTATCTGGGGCAGGAGATTTAAGTGAGATAAGACAAGTAAATGTGCAGAGTCAAGGTAAACATTTAAAAATGATTCAAAGAATTTTCGAATGGTAACTGCAATTGGCATTATTTGGATAAACAAACTAATCACAAACTCTATTTTTTTCTACTCTGACAATTACTGGTTGTCTGTATCTCCTATAAAATTATTGTTTATAGAAGAAAATTTGTTTGGTTGGTGGATAACTTAGCATCAAGATAACTTTTTTTGTTATTTGTTTCACTACCTTTTGATTGATCTAAATGGTCCAATTACCTCATGATGTTTACTCCACTTTATGACTGCTTGGAAAAGCTAGAAGGAACCATAAACAAACAATAAATAAGCACAGAGTAAAAAGTTAGCTAAGATCATGGTTGATCTCTCAATCATTACTTGAAGGATGTTACCAAAATTTACTTTTGCCATAATTGGTAGAACCAAAAATATCTGCAATCAACTGGCCATAATAAGGTATAGATTATAATAGCTCATCTGCCTCATCCATTAATATGATGTCTATTCCAGTCTATATGCATTTTCAGATTTATAAAACTGATCACAATATTACACATCAATGTTACTAACATGATGATTGTGATATAATGAAGAGGAAGGTATTTGTAACACGTAAATTATAACTAACACAAGTTATTAACTTTATGTTTAAATACTTACTGACTTTGACATTTTTACAACCCATTTGTTGGCTTGTAAATACACAAACTTTGATCTAAACTTAGGCTCTTTTCAAGGAGAACAATCTCTGGACTCTTCTTCGTATCTGTTGGGTCTTGATACTATAAATAATAGGGTTCATCATGGGTGGGAAAAGGATATAGGTATTGCCCATGAGGACGTGAACCAGTGGTGGGAGGTGTTTCCCAAAGCGATGAACCATGGTCAGACCAATGATTGGGATGTAGAAAACCAAAACAGCACAGATGTGAGATACACAGGTCTGCAAAGACTTGAGTCTCTCCTCCCAGGATGCAATGGCCAAGACTGTATGCAAAATCATAACATAGGAGATAAGTATGAGCACTGCATCTAACAACAGGTTGCTGATCACAAGGGCGAGACCATAGACATTGTTAAAGCGGATGTCCGAACAGGCCATTCTAATTAAGTCTTGGTGCAGGCAGAAGGAGTGAGAAAGGATGTGAGGACGGCAATAATTCAAGAATTTCAAACGGATGATGACTGGAGGTATTAGCAAAGAACTCCTACATAAGATTGCCACCCCAATCTTCATGATTTTGTCATTAGTTAGGATGGAAGAATAGCGCAGTGGGTTGCAAATGGCGATGTAGCGGTCAAAAGCCATAGCGAGGAGGACAGAGGACTCCATGAAGGACAGACCATGTATGAAATAGGACTGGGCAATGCAGGAATCCAGGATGATCTCTTGAATGAACCCCAACAGGATCCCCAGCACCGTGGGCACAGTAGAAAACCCCATGCACAGGTCAGTGAGGGCCAGCATGGCCAGAAAATAGAACATAGGCTGGTGGAGGTTTGACTCAGTCCAGATCACATGGAGCACCATGCAGTTTCCCAAAAACACCAGAGAATAGATGGAGAAGAAAGGAATACAGAGCCAGGGATAGTGAACTTCTAGGCCAGGAAAACCAGTGAGAATAAATCTGGAACTATTGAAGTTTGAGTTAGAGATAGACATTAATAGAAGATTGAAAATACTTCCAGAAAAATGCAAATTACATAGGTTTGTAATCCTCTAATTTTTAGTAATGTTTGTCTGCCTTTAGGAAGAAAATAAAATACAACTTCTCTAATTGTCATAAATGCAGCAAAATAGAGACCTTATTCCTTACCCTTTAGGGCAAAAACCTGGTTTTCTAGACATGGACAAAAACCCGGCCAAAAAAATTACTTGTCTAGACAGTCCAGTGCTGGTGACTAGGAATAACAGAAGACTGGGGAGTTTTATGAAGAAACAGTAATGTTACTGGTCACATGGGAGTTAGGTTTTAGGACAGACTTCTGGGAGTCTCTGTTCATTCCTAAAGGAAGACAGTGTATGATCACAGGTGTGTACCACTGCTATAGGTGGCATCATCCTTAAGAGAATATGAAATTAGGTCATTTATTCTTGGTGCTGCAGCTGTTTCTTTCACTTCCCCAAAGGATAAGATCCCAAAAGGTATATACTGTTTAAAATAACCAAACTTTGTGAAACATAAAGTTTATTCAAGAGAAACTATATAAACCAAGTGGAACTGGAACTTTTTTGCACATTCCACATTGTTTAGCTCCTCTGCAAATTATTTACCTATTTAAAATGGACTTTTTCTTCATTTTCATGCACTTGTTTATTCTTTGTAAGATTTCTTCCTTTCTAAATCTCACAATACTGTTATTTCTTATGTCTTTCATATGTAATATAATTGGCCTGCATTTTAACCAAAGTCCTAGACAAATATTTGTTATTATCTCATTTATCTATGACTATGTCAGCTCTTTATAGGTAGAATAAAGTCAGTTATATAAGCAAGCAGTATTTGATAATAACTAAATAGTCATAAAGTAGCCTTAGTCTAGATTGCTATAGATCTATGTCTACTACCCAATATTTTCAGCATGTCCCATATGAAGTAGATAAGGCAGCATAATATGAGTTTCTTTGGTTAAGAAAATCTATGAATAATTAGAGCTTGTAAGAATAATTCTAGGATATCAGATTATAAATGGAATTTTATAAAAGTCTACTAAAATGACTTATATCATTAGGTAATTAAAAACAATTTTTAAGAGGTAGTGATTTGACTTTTTGAAGAATGAAAATTTATAAATATAAAAAAACTAATTTTTTTTTTCTAACCTTTGATTCTTTTTTTTTTTTTTTAATTTATTTATTATTATTAAACTTCAAGTTGTAGGGTACATGTGCACAACGTGCAGGTTTGCTACATATGTATACTTGTGCCATGTTGGTGTGCTGCACCCATCAACTCGTCATTTACATCAGGTATAACTCCCAATGCAATCCCTCCGCCCTCCCCCCTCCCCATGATAGGCCCCGGTGTGCGATGTTCCCCTTCCTGAGTCCAAGTGATCTCATTGTTCAGTTCCCACCTACGAGTGAGAACATGCGGTGTTTGGTTTTCTGTTCTTGTGATAGTTTGCTAAGAATGATGGTTTCCAGCTGCATCCATGTCCCTACAAAGGACACAAACTCATCCTTTTTTATGGCTGCATAGTATTCCATGGTGTATATGTGCCACATTTTCTTAATCCAATCTGTCACTGATGGACATTTGGGTTGATTCCAAGTCTTTGCTATTGTGAATAGTGCTGCAATAAACATACGTGTGCATGTGTCCTTATAGCAGCATAATTTATAATCCTTTGGGTATATACCCAGTAATGGGATGGCTGGGTCATATGGTACATCTAGTTCTAGATCCTTGAGGAATCGCCATACTGTTTTCCATAATGGTTGAACTAGTTTACAATCCCACCAACAGTGTAAAAGTGTTCCTATTTCTCCACATCCTCTCCAGCACCTGTTGTTTCCTGACTTTTGAATGATTGCCATTCTAACTGGTGTGAGATGGTATCTCATTGTGGTTTTGATTTGCATTTCTCTGATGGCCAGTGATGATGAGCATTTTTTCATGTGTCTGTTGGCTGTATGAATGTCTTCTTGTGAGAAATGTCTGTTCATATCCTTTGCCCACTTTTGGATGGGGTTGTTTGTTTTTTTCTTGTAAATTTGTTTGAGTTCTTTGTAGGTTCTGGATATTAGCCCTTTGTCAGATGAGTAGATTGCAAAAATTTTCTCCCATTCTGTAGGTTGCCTGCTCACTCTGATGGTAGTTTCTTTTGCTGTGCAGAAGCTCTTTAGTTTGATGAGATCCCATTTGTCAATTTTGGCTTTTGCTGCCGTTGCTTTTGGTGTTTTAGACATGAAGTCTTTGCCCATGCCTATGTCCTGAATGGTACTACCTAGGTTTTCCTCTAGGATTTTTATGGTATTAGGTCTAACATTTAAGTCTCTAATCCATCTTGAATTAATTTTCGTATAAGGAGTAAGGAAAGGATCCAGTTTCAGCTTTCTACTTATGGCTAGCCAGTTTTCCCAGCACCATTTATTAAATAGGGAATCCTTTCCCCATTTCTTGTTTCTCTCAGGTTTGTCAAAGATCAGATGGCTGTAGATGTGTGGTATTATTTCTGAGGACTCTGTTCTGTTCCATTGGTCTATATCTCTGTTTTGGTACCAGTACCATGCTGTTTTGGTTACTGTAGCCTTGTAGTATAGTTTGAAGTCAGGTAGCGTGATGCCTCCAGCTTTGTTCTTTTGACTTAGGATTGTCTTGGAGATGCGGGCTCTTTTTTGGTTCCATATGAACTTTAAAGCAGTTTTTTCCAATTCTGTGAAGAAGCTCATTGGTAGCTTGATGGGGATGGCATTGAATCTATAAATTACCTTGGGCAGTATGGCCATTTTCACGATATTGATTCTTCCTATCCATGAGCATGGTATGTTCTTCCATTTGTTTGTGTCCTCTTTGATTTCACTGAGCAGTGGTTTGTAGTTCTCCTTGAAGAGGTCCTTTACATCCCTTGGCAGTTGGATTCCTAGGTATTTTATTGTCTTTGAAGCAATTGTGAATGGAAGTTCATTCCTGATTTGGCTCTCTGTTTGACTGTCACTGGTGTATAAGAATGCTTGTGATTTTTGCACATTAATTTTGTATCCTGAGACTTTGCTGAAGTTGCTGATCAGCTTAAGGAGATTCTGGGCTGAGACAATGGGGTTTTCTAAATATACAATCATGTCGTCTGCAAACAGGGACAATTTGACTTCTTCTTTTCCTAACTGAATCCCCTTGATTTCGTTCTCTTGCCTGATTGCCCTAGCCAGAACTTCCAACACTATGTTGAATAGGAGTGGTGAGAGAGGGCATCCCTGTCTTGTGCCAGTTTTCAAAGGGAATTTTTCCAGTTTTTGCCCATTCAGTATGATATTGGCTGTGGGTTTGTCATAAATAGCTCTTATGATTTTGAGGTACGTTCCATCAATACCGAATTTATTGAGCGTTTTTAGCATGAAGGGCTGTTGAATTTTGTCAAAAGCCTTTTCTGCATCTATTGAGATAATGATGTGGTTCTTGTCTTTGGTTCTGTTTATATGCTGGATTATGTTTATTGATTTGCGAATGTTGAACCAGCCTTGCATCCCAGGGATGAAGCCCACTTGATCATGGTGGATAAGCTTTTTGATGTGCTGCTGAATCCGGTTTGCCAGTATTTTATTGAGGATTTTTGCATCGATGTTCATCAGGGATATTGGTCTAAAATTCTCTTTTTTTGTTGTGTCTCTGCCAGGCTTTGGTATCAGGATGATGTTGGCCTCATAAAATGAGTTAGGGAGGATTCCCTCTTTTTCTATTGATTGGAATAGTTTCAGAAGGAATGGTACCAGCTCCTCCTTGTACCTCTGGTAGAATTCAGCTGTGAATCCATCTGGTCCTGGACTTTTTTTGGTTGGTAGGCTATTAATTATTGCCTCAATTTCAGAGCCTACTATTGGTCTATTCAGGGATTCAACTTCTTCCTGGTTTAGTCTTGGAAGAGTGTAAGTGTCCAGGAAATTATCCATTTCTTCTAGATTTTCCAGTTTATTTGCGTAGAGGTGTTTATAGTATTCTCTGATGGTAGTTTGTATTTCTGTGGGGTCGGTGGTGATATCCCCTTTATCATTTTTAATTGCGTCGATTTGATTCTTCTCTCTTTTCTTCTTTATTAGTCTTGCTAGTGGTCTGTCAATTTTGTTGATCTTTTCAAAAAACCAACTCCTGGATTCATTGATTTTTTGGAGGGTTTTTTGTGTCTCTATCTCCTTCAGTTCTGCTCTGATCTTAGTTATTTCTTGCCTTCTGCTAGCTTTTGAATGTGTTTGCTCTTGCTTCTCTAGTTCTTTTAATTGCGATGTTAGAGTGTCAATTTTAGATCTTTCCTGCTTTCTCTTGTGGGCATTTAGTGCTATAAATTTCCCTCTACACACTGCTTTAAATGTGTCCCAGAGATTCTGGTATGTTGTATCTTTGTTCTCATTGGTTTCAAAGAACATCTTTATTTCTGCCTTCATTTCGTTATGTACCCAGTAGTCATTCAGGAGCAGGTTGTTCAGTTTCCATGTAGTTGAGCGGTTTTGATTGAGTTTCTTAGTCCTGAGTTCTAATTTGATTGCACTGTGGTCTGAGAGACAGTTTGTTATAATTTCTGTTCTTGTACATTTGCTGAGGAGTGCTTTACTTCCAATTACATGGTCAATTTTGGAGTAAGTACGATGTGGTGCTGAGAAGAATGTATATTCTGTTGATTTGGGGTGGAGAGTTCTATAGATGTCTATTAGGTCTGCTTGCTGCAGAGATGAGTTCAATTCCTGGATATCCTTGTTAACTTTCTGTCTCGTTGATCTGTCTAATGTTGACAGTGGAGTGTTGAAGTCTCCCATTATTATTGTATGGGAGTCTAAGTCTCTTTGTAAGTCTCTAAGGACTTGCTTTATGAATCTGGGTGCTCCTGTATTGGGTGCATATATATTTAGGATAGTTAGCTCTTCCTGTTGAATTGATCCCTTTACCATTATGTAATGGCCTTCTTTGTCTCTTTTGATCTTTGATGGTTTAAAGTCTGTTTTATCAGAGACTAGTATTGCAACCCCCGCTTTTTTTTGTT